TGTTATATTTACCTTTTTTTTTTTCTTCATAATTGGTGAGTTCTGAATGCAGGCCCTCGACACGTTCAATACTGCTGTGGTTTCGCCTATATACTACGTTATGTTTACATCTTTAACCATATTGGCGAGCGTGATTATGTTCAAGGTAATCATTCTTTTTCCCCAGGAAGTAGCAAACCAATTTTTTTTTTCTTTTTTTTTTCGATGTTCTTGGAGCCGTGACTTTTAAGTAAATTACCACAGAGTTAAAAAGGATAATATTATCAGCATCACAGTATAAACCAGCCATGTAACCACTCTGACTTTTGACTGTTAAAATCATTAAGTAAAACAATCATTAAGTAAAACAAAAAGGTGTTAGAATGTGACATGTATTCACTTCACCAAATATTTATCGAGCATTCGTTTGTGATGATGGACAGGATTGGGACCGGCAAAACCCAACTCAGATTGTCACAGAAATGTGTGGCTTTGTCACTATTCTTTCCGGGACATTTCTTCTCCACAAAACAAAAGACATGGCTGATGGTACAAGCTTTATTATTAGTTGTTACCATTATTCGTCTTAGTTCAATGTTGATACTAATGGAGAAGGAATATGTATTGTATACTTTTGATGACAGAGTTTTACAAAGGTTGCGCATTCAATGGAGGCGCCACATCAATTGCCATGAAACTTCCTAAACACGCAGATGAAGATGGATTTGCTCAAGAAGGCATACCTTTAAGACTGAAGGAATCCTCAAGAACACCATGATGTAATTTTTTTTCTTATAATTTTTTTTGTCAAATACAAGCTCCCAAAATCAAAGCTACTGGGGAAGATACCACACCTATGTGATTATTGTATTTATCGCTACTAACTACTAAACAGTCCCCAACACAATTTTCTTCCTGTAAATGAAGGCTGTGATTCACTTTTCCTCCGCGTTTTCATTTTCTCCCATCAGATGCACAGTATTAATACAGGGGGAAAAAAAAATTGTTCCAGTAAAAAAGGACAATAAGTACATCAATAATCTATATTAATTCCATAGGGACTAAATCATTTTCTATTCTTTTTTATTATTGTAGTGTGCTACAAAATTTGGTATAATCTACATAAGAAGGGAGACAGTTACCAAATCATCAAGGCAAGTTTAGGTAGAGAATCTGGGATACAATGGAAGCATTTTTTTCAAAATCTGCGTTTGGTTTACTTGTTTATTTGCTTGAGAAGTCCAGCTACTGATGCGCAATGTGTTGATTTATATTCACATTGTTCGCAACAATACTGCAGCATCTGGATGACTTTGACACACCTACAACACAAATTAAGACCAACTGTAATTTTAGTAATTGTAATGTAACATTCACGATGACGAATAAGAAGTTAACATAGTTTCTTCAAGAGTTACAAAAACATAAAATCAGTTAACAGCCCTGTTAATGTATGTTAGCCTATGAACAAGCAGAATTGGGAATTTTTAAAGGTTTCAAAGTTCAGGTTAAACAACATATACATAGGTTATTCATTAACAACACGGTTTTTTTTAACCTCCAAACAAACTAATGCCTATCAACAATTAATAAAACAACAACGAAGTAAAAACCCAGATGACCAAGAAATCCTAATATATGAAGAACTCCTATGATTTACATGGCCAAGAGGCTTTAGTTGACAGTAAACGAAAACAAGGAATGCACATTGTTCCATGCCATATGTCCAAATTAAGAGTAACCAGCTACTTTCATCTCATAAGCAAATCAATGCAATTTTGTCAAAGATTTTAGAGGGGAAAAGTAGCCTAAGCATAGTTTGGGGACCATTAATGAAAGAAAATGCAGCAAACTTATTGAGCCACGGATATCACGGATATCAATCAGACTCCAACAAACCACAAAATCAATCAGCACAATTTCACCATAACTAAACCAACGGNCGAAATGTAAAAGAATCTGAATATGAAAACACAGAAATCTGATTCAAAAGAAACAAAAAAGAAAAGAAATTACTTCTGGGGAAGAAAATTGTTCTTGGAGAGGCAAGCTTGGATATCGCAAGCCTGTTTCTTACATGGCTCTTTACTGGTCTGAGCCATTTATTCTTTAATCTTCTCTCTTTTCTGATCCAAGTTGTGCAGTTGATCGGTACTACCAAAAGGGAAATCTTTCGAATTTTAGGTTTATGGAAGATTGTTAATCTGAGAACTGTTTCAAAATTTGTGAGAGAAGCTCTAACATATTGCAATATGCGGGAATCGATCTATATGTATGGCCCGTCGGTTTGATAAGGGTCTGTTTGGTGAGGTGCATTAGATAGTCCGCTACTGGACAAAACAGGTCTAATCAAATCCTGAGTTATCGCTAATACTATTTTACCCGGTGAATTAATTTATATTAAACATTAAATAAAATTTAAATTGAAATATAAATTAAATCCAATTCTGTAAAAAAATTAAAATAAATTATTATCGATTATGAATATTTCATTGTATACGACATTATATATATCAATTGGCTCTCATTGTATAACAATGTTTATCTTTCTTTATTGATCATTTTTAAAATTATCAGTATAATTGGTTATGGTAACCTAAATTCATATTCTTTCTCCAATCATTGACTATATATTTTACTCTACTTGTAATTTATTTTCATTTATTTTTTATTTTAAAAATTTTAAGACATATAGTGATTTAATAAAATTCTTATTATATAATTTATAAAAATATATTCACATGGAATAATAAATGTATGAAGACTTTTTTTTAAGAAATATTATTGTATTTATGTGTAGTATTTTGAGAATTGTAGAGTATGNTTTATTTTTTTTTTTTCAGTGAAAAAATATATCATATCTTTTTACTAGTTTTAAATAATCACAACTATAGAAAATAAAGTTATATTTTCACTAATTTCACAAAAATCCATAAACTCGTATCACAATTAATGATATAAAAATAAGAAAAAAAAATGCTAAGTTTGAATTAAAAGTAGCACGTCGTGGCGCTTTGTGTTATGCTAGCATAAATACATCATTAGACTGGAGATGCCCTAAAGTTCTAAATTAAAAAAAAAAAAAAATTCAGTTTTATACATATTACTACTATAACATGGAATATTAGTTGATTTGTTTTAGTCAATATTTTGATTTCTTTTTTTTTTTCTTTTTTTTCTTTAAATAATTAAAATGCATTCAACCAAAGACATACTTTATATTTGTATGTTTTCATTTTCATTTTATAAAGTAGCATATTAAATAGAGAAGTTATTGCAGGCCAATAGAAAGTCTCTCAAAAACTACAATAGTATGCTTTTTTCTGATGATTCAATGGTGACAGAAGGAAATAATAAGCTTATCCAACAAGAATTGTTGTATGACCGTACACAATTAGAGGCAGAGCAAATTATTTTCTTGTTTGACTGTTGGACAATAGGGGGTATACACTGAAATTTTAAATGCTACTACAAATAATGTTGGTGGTGTTTTCTTTGTCTATGGATATGGTGGAACAGGAAAGACTTTCATTTGGAGAATGTTATCCGCTGCTCTTAGAAACAAAGGTGAAATTGTTGTTAATGTTGCTTCAAGTGGAGTTGCAGCACTATTACTTCCTGGCGGTCGAACTGCTCATTCACGTTTTGGAATTCCGCTCAACATTAGAGAGAAATCTATGTGTCCACTTACTCCTGATTTTGAGTTAGCTTCTCTTTTGGAGAAGACAAAACTTATTATATGGGATGAAGCTCCAATGATGAATAAATATTGTTTCGAAGCATTAAATCAAAGTTTCAGGGATTCATGTACCGATCCTTCCAAGAAGTGCATACCTTTTGGTGGAAAAGTAATTATTTTTGGGGGAGATTTTCGGCAAATACTACCTGTGGTACCGCAAGGTAGTAGAGAAGATATTGTTTATGCCTGCATAAATTCATCTGCATTATGGAATCATTGCAAACTTCTCCAGCTAATTAAAAACATGAGATTAACTGTTGGACAATCACACTCACATGTAACTGCTAGAGAAATTGAAGATTTCTCTAACTGAATCATAAAACTTGGTGATGGTCTAATTGGTGTTGAAGTTGATGGAGAAACTTTTATCAATATTCCTGAAGACTTACTGATTCAAGATGCAGAGTGATATGGGATATTATACGATTAAGAAGCAGACCGGTCCATCATGTCGGTCAGACAGGCATAGGGTGGAGAAAACCACGTTGGTTGAAGAATGATCGACCGAAACGGAACAGATCGAGCAGAATAGCAGAGCTGGTCGAGGATTGATTTAGTAAGGGTGAGCTCGATCAGATCGAGCACGTAGCAGGAAGGAAACAGTCGAGAGCGTGACCTGAATGCGAATGGGCGCGTGAGTGATGTCAGGAGATCCCAACAGTTTGCGCAACGGAATAATTCCCCTCAGCTCAGAGGGGGGCACGTGGTGAAAACGTATTAGTGCAGAGTGATAGTGGTAACAACCACCTCTGACACCCCTGACATTTCTGACAACACGTACACTGTGTGTGTACGGACGGGCAGCAAGGGCAGGACAGCTCACCAATATCCGGGCAGCTCTTAGGGCAGGTATCTCACTCCTATATATATGGGAGTGGGTCTTTTCTTAGGGTTTACGATTTATCCATTCTTTACTTTGGAAAATTGAACAAACATATACTGACTTAAGCATCGGAGGCTCTTCACCGGAAAACCCCACCGGTGTGAGAGTTCTGTGCAGGGACGCGGCGTTCTATCGGCGAGGAAGAAGGAAGCAAACCGATTCCAAGCCGGTCGGAGTGTTTTGCGTTACCATTTGGCGCCGTCTGTGGGACTTTCGTTCGAAAAGTGGTGTGCTGAGATTTCTGAAGCTTGGTAGCTATGGCGGACGGAATTTCCTAGGAGAGATTTACAGGCATCGTTCGATGATGCGTGGACGATGACGAGGCCGTTTGGAGATGGCCCACCTCCGGGCTTCTCTGGACCCTCGCGTACACCGGTGACTCCAACGCCTGTTCCCCAAGGTGTAGAAGTCACGCCGGTGCAACCAGAGGCTGATGTGGGCTCAAATCGGGCCCAGGAGACCCGCACAGCTCAAGGCGCGGCGGCCCCAACGCCGCCGCAACCAGATCTGGCCGCGACGCTGCAGCGAGGAGTGGCGGTACAAGGAGTGGTGCCGCTGCCGGCGGAGGAACAATGTCCTGGCCAGCAGGTGGTGATGACTAGGCAGGAGATGCAGCAGATGGTGGCGAACGCGGCGGCACAAGCGGTTCAGCAGGTCACTCAAAGCCTTTCGCGAGTGGCTGCTGGGCCAACGATGGTGGAAGAGGACGTGTCTAGCTATGGGGGAGATGGGGCCTTAAGAGATCGTGAGGTGGAGAGGCTCGCGGAACAGGTTAGGCAGATGCAGGCTAAGATGGATGGTCGACCTGAAAGACGTGCTCGAGGACATCCGTTCTCGAGGGATATATTGGCGGCACCATTACCTGCGAATTTCAGAGACATGAGTTTGATGTTCGATGGGACCACTGACCCGTCGAGGCATGTAAGGGCGTTTGAGAATTTGGCTGTGTTGCATGGTTATTCTGACTCGGTTAGCTGCAGGGCATTCTTGTCGACCTTGAGGGGAGGCGTACTCGACTGGTTTCAGCAGCTCCCTCATGGATCGATCAAGGACTTTGATGATTTCGCGGAAAAGCTAATGACCCAGTATGCGAGTGCGGTGGCACAGGAAAAGACGTACTTGACGTTGATGGCCATGAGGCAAGGGGAGAAAGAATCATTACGCAAGTATGTCGCGCGATACAATCAAACTTGTTTGGAGATCCCCACGACCTCGGACGAGGTGAAGGCTGGAGGGATGATACGAAGTTTGCGAGCAGGTCCTTGTCGAACATCTTTAGCCAAAACCCCTGCTCGTACGTATGATGATGTGCTAAAAAGGTGCAAGAAGTACATTAATTTGGAGGAAACGGAGGCTGGGTTCGCTAAGTTGGAAGAATTGGCTAAGCTAGAGCCGAAGAAAGGAAGGGTAAGCTCGCCTCGAAGAGTATCCCCGGGAAGAAGATCGCCCAGAAGAGAGGGGCGTGGTAGGGTTGATCGTGGTAGAGAAGACAGGTGGAAGGATCGACCGGTATTGGGGGGGAAGCGTTTCCAACACTTTACGCCCCTTAATGCGAGAATGGGAGAGGTGTTGATAGCTATCGAGAAGAAGATAGAGGATAGGGATGTGACGTGGCCTAAGTCGAGGCGTGAGGGGCCGACACAGCCTAGGTCGAGCAAGTATTGCCGTTTTCATAAAGATTATGGGCACAAAACAGAGAAGTGTAGGCACCTCAAGGATGAGATCGAGCGCCTTATCAGGGCCGGGTATCTCAAGGAGTTCGTGTACGAGGGAAAGACAAAGGGGAAGGATAAAGGGAAATGTCGAGAGGACTCGATGGAGCGAAGTGATCGGGATGATGACGAGGAAGGTGATCCCCGAGGAGGAAGGGGTAGTCGAGGAGGCAAGAGGAGACGAGGGAGTCAAGATCGAGGAGGTTAGGAGGATCAAGGCCCAGTGAAGAGAGGAACGATTTATATGATCTCGGGGGGCCCAACTGATGGGGACTCGAACAACGCTAGGAAGGGACATGTTCGAGCGATAAAGTGGAAGAGAGAGGAGGTGGGGATCACTGCTCGGATGCCGGAGATAAGTTTTCGGGCGGAGGATGCAGAGGGAGTAGTATTACTCCACAATGATGCACTGGTGATAACGGCGGAGGTGGCTGGTTTCGATGTGAAGAGGGTGTTTATTGATACGGGGAGCTCGGTTGACGTGATGTTTTATGATTGTTTTGTGCAGATAAACAAGGAGCTCAATCTCGACTTGAAGCCGGTGACCACAGCCTATATGGATTCAACGGGGGCGAAGTGATGCCGATGGGAGAGGTGAGCCTTTCTGTTGCCTTGGGGCAAGGAGTGATGAGGAAGGTGCGAATGGTGCGGTTTGTGGTCGTTGGAGCAGAGTCCTCGTACAACATTATCATGGGAAGGACCAGCTTAAATGCTTTCCAGGCGGTCGTGTCGACGTACCACATGACGATCAAATATCCAGTGGGGGAA